CCCGCCCGCTCGCCCGCCTGCCTGCCCTTCCGGGTTTTGTCCGGCTGGGGTGGAGGAGTGTGAGCCCCTTGCACTGTGTTTCTCAAAGTGGAGTCCGGGCACGCCGATCCCCGCCTCTCAGACTCCTGAATCAGAGCCTGCTGTGGCTGGTGAGTCTGCCTTTTCAGCAGACATCCTCGACGGTTTGGTGCAGATGGCCGTGAGGGAACCCCGTCTTCACACAACATGAGGCCTCAGTGGGTGCATCTGAGTGCCATCACAGGGGCTGGCCTTGTGCTGGGGTCCTCAGATGGCAGCTGATGCCAGTGAAGGGCCTGAATCAGGAGCCCTAGAGGTGGAACTGTGTTAAACGGGGATAGTCTGTGGGTGCGTCCATGACAACCTGAAGCTGGTCTCTCAGGTTTGCCTGGCTGCCCTGGGTTATGACGGGCTCCATGTCTCACTAACAGGCAAGTTTGTGTGGACATCGCACACACCAGTGATTTTCCTTTCTTCTTTTTAGGCCCCAGTGTTCTCATCTGTCAGTAGGGACAGTAATTCTTGTTTGATAAAGTTTTTCTGTGAATTAGGTAATGTCTGTCTAGTTCTCTTCACAGTGTCTGGTACACAAGAAGCATTCAGTAAATGGGAATTGCTGAAAATGACTGCCCTTGCTTTTCTTGAGCTTATGGGGGGAAAAGAAAAGAAAAAAAAAAAAAAGAAGTAGAGATTAAACACATGGGATAAAATTTAAAAAAAAAATGTGCAAGGATTCTAACTGCATGGGAAACGATCTTGCAAGAAATGGGGCTTATCTAGGAACATGAAAAATAGAACTCTAGGGATCAGGTAACTTCGGACAGTGGACCCGCTCTGTCCCATGCCTGGTGATTGGTTGTAGTGCTACTGCAGGACTTTGAGGCAGCAAGAGGTCACATCAGTAGGTGGTTTGGGAAGACTGAACCTTGCTGGATTCCTAATGGTTTTTTGTCTGTTGGCCTACCTCAGTTTCTTGTGGTGAAGTTAGTGCCTCCGGGGAAGGATTTCAGTTGATGGGTTAGTAAAAATGAATTGGTGTGAATATAGTTGAGTTTGGCAGTTCTTTAAAGACTTGCTATGGAAGTTTAGATACTGCAGGTTGTCAGTGGAGAGAGTATGTATTTCCAGCCCATTTCAGATTTAGTAGAGAACCATAGTCATTTGTTAACAATCTCCAGACTGGATAAAGATACTTAAAAAACAACAACAACAAATTTCCCCAAAGCTTTCACCAGTAGAGTGAAAGAAGCAATCTGATTGACAAGCAATCTAGAGCAATCTGGCTACCTGTATAAATAGAGAACATTTTTGGACATTATGTTTATTTTTGTGTTTGTGGGTATTTTGCCTGCGTCTATATCTGTCTGTGTGCCATGTGCACACAGTGACCGCAGAGGTCAGAGGAGGGTATCCAATCCCTTGGAACTGGAGTTACAGACAGTTGTGAGCCATGTGGTGCTGGGGATTGAACCTAGGTCTTCTGTAAGAATACAGAAGTGCTCTCAATCATGGGCCATCCCTCTAACCCTTGATATAAATAAAATTCTGATCCCAGTTAATAAATGGTATATTGATTAGTTGTAGAATAAACTACAGTTTAAGGATTACAGTTATTGGCAGTTGATCCTCTGTTTCCTTAATCTCCAAAGTTTGTCTCAAGTTTCTCAGTGTATGCTCTATGGGAAATTTTGTATCATCATGTATAATTTGTCATTTGCTGTATACTTAGTCTATGCCACATACATTTTATGTGTCACCTTAATTACTTCTCTGGAGATCTTTGGACCATTGCCACCTCCATTTTATATATAGGGCAGCAAGAAAATGAAGATAAGCTATTCACCCAAGAACCTAGTGATTGTAATTGGTAAAGCCCTGTGGCTGCCTGTGTTACACAGCGATTTCTTCAGTCTGGATGGTTCCTTCAGACTTGTTAAAAAACATATGTCAGTGCCAGAGATCACAAGCATATCTTGTTTTTGCTTTACATGTGCCCGACTATGTATTATCTTGTATAATTCTCTAGTCATTTTATCTACTGTGCTTTATAATTCCTAGGTATTTATAAATCCTCAGACACAAAATTTCCCAATCTAGCATATTGCAGATATGCTAGGTCTTTCATATCACACAAAATACCATGTTAGAAATATGTTTATCTTATCCATTTATTTTCAGCAAGATCAGAGATATTTGTCCTTTGTTTCTACAGAGGTCTGGGACTGCAATTATTTCAAAATTTGTGAAAGTTTATGCCAAAACTCCAGGAGTCCAAGGGAAGGATGGCAGACCACAGAGCAGAAGACCTGCTAGACATTCTTCGGCTGAACGTGGGTGGCTGCATTTACACAGCCCGGCGAGAGTCTCTGTGCCGCTTTAAGGACTCCATGCTGGCATCTATGTTTAGTGGGCGTTTCCCTCTAAAAACAGATGAATCTGGTAAATGTCTGAAGTCTGGAGCATGAATGTGAATGTTCATTTAAGTGGGGATCTATTTTAAATTCCTATGATTTTCTTTAATTTTGTTGGAACATATATTAGCCTACTAATTACTGACCTCATTGGGACTGTATGCAGATTCGTTAAGCACATAGAGAAATTGAATAGCTTTTTCTAAAGTCCGTGGTGCTGCTCCTGTATGTTGACAAAGAAGTGAGATGGTATAAAGGCCGACCATGACCCTATTATGGGATCACTATATTTTGAAAGTTGTCCCTTTCATGTGACATTCGGGGTGATGGGCTGAAGCTGACTATATACTAGCTTCTCTCTGTGTTCTTCAAGGAAGAAAGTGTTTCCCCAGAGAAGCAGCTACCCTCATAGCTGACAGAACGGCCACTGTAGAGTAAGTGTTGCCATGTGCTTTTGTGTGAGCCCATGGTTGAAAAATGGAGAGTTCAGATTGTGGGTCATTCAGTAGCAGAGAACCAGAAGTGATGACTCTGCACAATTGTCTTGGAATTGTTTTCCAGGGGCGTGTATTATTGACCGTGATGGACAGCTATTTAAATACATTTTGGATTATCTCCATGGAGAAGTTCAGATCCCCTCGGATGAGCAGACCCGAACCGCCTTGCAGGAAGAGGCTGATTATTTTGGCATCCCTTATCCTTACAGCTTGTCTGACCACTTGGCCAATGAAATGGAGACATATTCTTTAAGGTCAAATATAGAACTTAAAAAGGTCTTGGCATTTTCTCAAGTTTTAAAATACATATTTATTATGCACAAAGCAGTATGTTATTTTGCATAGTTTGTGATGTCACATATACCAAGCATGAAGCAGTTTGTTATCATTTTGAATATGTTTCTTAATTATTCCTACTCATGTTTAAAGGCCAAAGTTAATTCTAGGGAAAAAAGCTTTATTAAGTTTATGTGCCTCTCTGAAGATGTAACACTTTTGATTATTTTTAACAGAACTATTCTTCTGAAATTATTGTTGTTTTTATTTTGAGGCAAGGTCTCACTATGTCACCCTGGCTGGCCTAGAACTGGTTTTGTAGTCTTAGACTGGCCTTGAACTCATAGAGATCCATCTGCCTCTGCTTCCTGAGTGCTGAGATTAAAGGTACACACCACTACGCTTGGTTTCTGAAGTTCTTTTTAAATTAGAGAAATACTGTCATTAATGAGGGCATGATGGTATTATATTTTTTACTAAGATAACTTGTTTTTTAAAAGAATTGGTCTACTAAATAATAAACTCTTACCTGACTTAGTGAGTGTAGCAGTTTGTCATGTTAAGAGACATGCTTAGTTCCCTTTGAGGGAACAACAAATATTTTTTAAAGACATTTTTATTTTATATCACATTTTAAAGATCTTTACATGACTTGAAAAGCTTTGTTATCTATGTCCTATTAATGGGTATTGCATTTGTTGCTATTTAGCACATAAGAAAATTATTCCTGTTGTCAGTTGTTGGTCCTGGAAATTGATATGAACTGATTTGAGCTTTAGATTTTGCTATCAGTTCAGGAATCAAACTGATGGATGGCTGGTTAGTAGGAGTGCAGCACAAAATCCTCTTTAGGCATTTGCACGGGTTTAGGGATCCTGCTACTGATGTTTCATACATTTAATTGCCAAGTGATAGTCTGGATAATGCTACTTAGCAAATTGCAGAATAGGGCTAAAAAAAGCCTTGCTGGAAGATTAGAGAGGGTTAGCATCATCTTTTGAATCCCAGTTCTACAGTCTTTGTGCCTGCATGTATTCCAACAGCCAAAACCCATTTATTTCAAAAGTTGTGGCATGAATGACATTGTAAAAGGGCTCTGTGGAACACGAAGAAATGGAATCCAGTTCTTGCCCTAAAACAGTTTCTAGTGTAATTTAGAATTCTTATATGTGCACACATAATATTATAGATCAACAGAAGAGTTATTTTGTAGGATTAAATGAAAGTGCAAGCCATGTGAGGACCCTGGCTTCATGATTGAGTAGGTAAGCAGTAGGTGAGTAGGTGTCGTCTTCATGTCACCTGCTCTTCCAGACACTAAGGATCTGTCAGTGGACACAGCCCACCAAGATGTATATCCTGAATGTGTTTAAATCAGTATCGAGGCTGCTGCCACAGTACTGGGAGGAGTCCCTTGTTCTGTGCTTTTTGTGTTGTCATGGCCAGACTTACTACGAGGTGTGCTGAGAGCTCAGCTGTGTCTGTCTGCTGTATTGGCTATGAACCTGTAGTATTTGGCCTGTCTCTCTTTTTCACTGCAGGGGCTAAGGGTGCTCAGCAGATAGTGGTGCTTACTCTGCAAGTGAATGAAATCCGGCCTAAGTATGTGAGCACCAGGTGACCTCACCATAGCTACCTTGTAGTGTAGAAGAGCAATTCATTTGATTAGTCCATAGTTGGAATTTGGAGTTAAAAATAAGGACCTGCCATGGGGCCAGCTAATAGAAAGAAAAGGGGAGGTTAAGTGAGAAGTCTGAGAAAATACTCTAATGAGGAGAGTGAAGATCTAACTTTTAGTTATTATATGAAGATTGTAAAATTAAAAGTGATGATGGCAAGCCTGGGGAAGAGATAAAAGAAAAATTCTGTTTGGAAAAGTATTTTCTCTAAATGAAGAGTTGTTGAGATTTTTGTTGTTGTTGTTGTTACAAAGAAAAAACCCTCTCTCCAATTAATTCATTACAATTATGTTTATAAACTAAGTTAAAATTTATGATCATTTTATTTCTCTTTATGACCAGCTCAAATTTTAGCTTTACATGAAAGTAATATAGCAATTTATCTTTTGTTCCATAATTAAATCTAAGTTTATATATATGTATTTGCTTTAGGCTTTAACAGACTTCTGTGATTCATATGGTTTGATTTGCAATAAACCAACAGTTTGGGTTCTCCACTATCTGAACACATCTGGTGCAAGCTGTGAGAGTAGAATTATTGGTGTCTATGCTACAAAAGCTGATGGGACAGATGCCATTGACAAGCAGCTGGGAGGAAGAATTCACAGTAAAAGTATCTTCAAAAGGTATGTTCAGAGTTAAATGTGGAAAAGAACAACATAAAGTCTTGACATCTTAATCATTTTAAGAATTGTTTGTGTATGAAATACCATGCTTGATGACAAGAAGCTATGGGCTTGCCTCAGTGTGCAGAGCCCTCAGAAGTGTGGGATGGCTGTTTCCAGAGTGGGGTGAACATTACACTCTTTGCACAGAGACTTTAGCCCTGGGCCTTTTGCAGTATCGAGTACGGTGGTTCTCGGTACACTGAGCCTCAAGTCCCATGATAGGTCTTTATAGAGTGGAAAGAAGATGTCACGTGCCCAATATCTCCCCTAACCACAGTGTGGGGCAAAGAGCTAGCCTAGGGTCACCAGGCACACTGAGTGACCCAGGGCCACACTGCGTCTTGTGCCTGTACCTTTTAGGGTTAGGCTTCTATGATTTGGACATGTTAAATTCTTACAAGTTGTCATCTTATTATGTCCCTATAATATTATTTGTACTGGCAAAGTCACTTAACATATTTTCTATCTTCTATATGTTCCATGGGAGAGTGAAGTGGGTCATATACCAGTCAGTAATCCATAGCCATATAAGCTTGCTTTCAGGTAACAGGAAGTACTGTCTTTCTGAATCCTTTCCAGGCAATAGTATTTCTGCATAAGATGTCCAAGCACCTGGTATGATGCAAGGAAAATGGCATCAAAGTTGGATCTTTTCTAATTAGAGTTAGCTGGTTTTGTTTTGTTGGTTTTTTTTGTTCCTTGGTTTGTATCGCCTTGGGTGGCCTGGAATGCAGAGATCTGCCTGCCTCTGCCTCCGAAGTCCTGGTATTAAAGGCTTGAGCCACTATGCCCAGATATGTGTGTGTGTGTGTGTGTGTGTGTGTGTGTATGTATATGTGTGTGTGTATATATAATATTTTAAAATGTTTTTAAAATATATTGATATATTTTCATATTGTGGAATTGACAAATACTACCATGAAAAGGAGATCAAATTTACATTAGACTGTGATGTAATTTATGAGTGCACACCTAAGCTTAGGGTCATAGAGGAATGACTTGTGCTTAGGTATTTTTTAACTTGATTATCAAGTATTTATTGAGCATATGCTAGCTTGATATAAATAGACACATTCATGCATAAATAGTAGATTTTCATTACATTTTTGCAATGTTTCTAGAGAGGCGGGAAATAATGTTCAGTACATTTGGAGCTATTACTCGGTAGCCGAGTTGAAGAAAATGATGGACGCCTTTGATGCCTGGGAAGGAAAAGGTACAGTGTAGTTCTTTTGTTTCATGGACACATATTTTTCTCTCTCTCTCTCTCTCTCTCTCTCTCTCTCTCTCTCTCTCTCTCTCTCTCTCTCTTCCAGGTCTTCCATTGTAGCTATGGCTGGCCTGGGACTTGGGGCTATCCTCCTGCTCTGCTGGGATTATAGACTTGTGTCACCATAAAATCAATCCCAAACACAGAGTAAAACACTGCATCTTTCTTCTCCATCCCTTGTTTTGTCTTTCCCTTCTTCTTACTCCGCCCCTCTCTTTCTAGGAGTATACTTTTTATTGTGTCAGATGTCTGTCACCATAAGGTGGTATCGAGGCAGTTTGCTTTTAAGTCTTTACCCCCATGCATGAGTGCTAGATATTATTATCTGTTTATAATTCAGTGACTTCAAGGATGGCTCTGTTAGTTGTGCTTACTTAATTACATAAGAGTTTATTTAGACCTGTGGTGTAGCTGGCAGCACTCTAAGAAGTGTGCTTCTAACCTGAACATGAGATGTAAGCAAGGAGGCTGGTGACATGGCTTAGCAGGTAAAGGTGCTTTTCACCAAGCCAGATTACCCAAGTTCAATTCCTAGAAGCCACATGGTGGAAGGAGAGAACTAACTTCTGTAACTTGTTCTCTGACCCCTGGTGTAGACTGTCCATGTTCACACAAATTAAAATAAATGTTAAAAAAAAGAGATCAAACAAATGAACAAAAACTGGCTTGATTGGACATGTGGCTCACTCCTCTATGCTCAGCACTAAGGAGGCTGAGGCAGGAGACTCACTGAGTTTAAGGCTGGCCTTGACTATACAGTGAGTTTTAGAGCAACCTGGTTTAGATAGCTAGACTGTGTTTGAAAACAAATGGAAGTATTGGGGTGAAAATGTACTAATGCATTCCTGGGTCTTGGATTAGGAATGATTGTGATTTTCTGTTTTGGGTGTTGGTTCTGGGGATCAAACCCAGGGGCTTCATGTTCACAATATGCCAAATTTACTAAGGTAGTCATGTTTACCAGAACTTTAATGATTAAAAAACAGACACTGATCTCATTCTGGGGACCTGAGAGCTATTACTGAAAAAAAAATAAACAAAACACAATTTTTTATTGAAGATTATTCTTTAAGTATTTTTTTGTGTATATAATTTTGTGGGTTTTTTTTTTACATTTTATTTATTTATTATGTATACAACATTCTGCTTCCATGTATATCTGCACACCAGAAGAGGGCACCAGATCGAATAACAGATGGTTGTGAGCCACCATGTGGTTGCTGGGAATTGAACTCAGGACCTCTGGAAGAGCAGTCGGTGCTCTTAACCTCTGAGCCATCTCTCCAGCCCCAATTTTTGTGTGTTTTTGGTTGAAGTGAAGTCACATGATGTAGAATGAATTGGTTTAAGATGTGTATGTATCAGTGGCATTTGCAGCTTATAAACACCACCTGTCTAGTTCCAAACATTCTTATCATCTCAGAAGGAATCCCCCCTTCCTCTCCACTCCATGTTCTCTTGTAGCTCCTCCCAACCCCAGTCCTTTTTCTGTCAAAGTGGATTTACCTGTCCTGGGTATTTCATGTAAGTGGGATCATGAAGTATGTGACCTTTTACATCTGACTTCTTTTACTTAGAGGCTCATAAGGATACATTTTTAAACGTTGACTCAGAAGTCATAAGTATCAGATTATTCTTGTTTAAAGGTTTGTTGTATTTTTTATTTGTGTGTGTTCCCACATGTGTGCAAGTATCTGCAGAGGCCAGAAAGAGTCATCAGATTCCCCTATAACTGGAGTTCCAGGCATTTGTGAACCACTAGACATGGGTGCTGTGAACTTGCTACAGTCTCCTTCAAGCACTTGCTGTTAACTACTGAGCCATATCTGGTGACCAATGCAGCAGACAAAGCATTCACCATTGCACACATCCTTTACACCTTTAGCCAATGCTGCAACTGTTTGTAAAGCCCCAAAGGTTTTCAGAGTGCTTAACCTTTTCTAAGCACTTCATGTCTATTAACTTATGTAATGATCACGGCAGCCATGCGGGGTACATACTGTGATAATTAGGATGAGGAAATACCATTCCCAAGGTCACATTACTAAGTGACAGAGTGGGATTTAGACACTGGGTCAGAGCCTGTGCCCTTAACCAGCATACACTCAGTCACTTGAGCATACAGTGAGCCACTTTCTAGGCCAGGCAACCATAGAGCCCTGGTTTGCAGCCAGCTCTTCTTGGACCTAGCTCATGAGTTTTGCCACTCCACTGTCCTGGAGCTACTAGTGAGCATTTCCTGTTTGTGTTGTACACACTCCATTCATCACCTGAGAGGAACAGGTGCAGACAGCCTCTGGGCAGTCATAGACGACTTAATGTTTACCCATGGCTCTCTTAATTATCTTTTCATCTTCAAGGTGTAAGCTACTGGCGAGTGCCCCATGAGCTGATCGAGTGTTGGACTCTGGAAGAGCGGCCTCTACATGGAAGCCTGCGCCATATGACCCCAATCCGAAAGAGGTTATCAGTGATTCTGTTTTGTTTTTAAATCTCTAGTTGATACGTTTTGTAGCCATCATAAAGGGGAAATGACTAATTCTTGACTTTACTAAGTTTCTTAATCACCTACATGCATATTCTACATTATCAGTGAAATAATGATCTCAATAAATAAAAAGTTACCCAAACTATGAAAAGTAGGGGGATTATACTCTAGTTGTGGAGGTATGCTCTTGAAAGGAGAAGGTGGCTGTAAGAACAGTGGTGGGCACTGGGAGGGAATGCTGTCCTCCCAAAGAAGGGAAACCCGGGATTTATTGGCAGTCTCTGTAGGCTTAATACTTGAAATTCCCTGTGCCTTATTCTGAATTTTTTCTTTTTCTTTTTCTTTTCTGTTGACACAAATTGCATTTTTATTTGGTAATATTTTCTTATTAGCATTAAATTCACCCCATGGCTGTGTCTTCAGCTGTGTCTTAAGTGCATGTAAAATTGTATTTCTTTTTTAATGTCTCAGTTTTATCCATAGTATCAGGTGTTTTTGTTTCTTGATTACTTGTTCTGAGTTTGATTCATAACTAGAATTTCAAATGTGCTTTCCTACTTTTTCCCTCTGGATGTTCAAAGAAATGAAGAGAAGTTGATGCATTTTTTAATAATCATCTCTTCGTAACATTTTATTTTTTGTAAAAAATACATTGATTGTATTATCATTATTTTGTCATTTGAACCAGCAGCAAACACCAAGCCTAGTGCAATGATTTCAACTGGGACAGACTTTTTGTATACTCTCCCCTCTCTTGAGTATTTAGCAATGTTTGGAGCTTTTTTGTTGTACTCTGTAGGAAGGTGGATGCTATGGCCAAGGGTAGAGGCCAGGGATACTGGCACATGTTCTACTGGCAGCTTCCCCCAACAAAAGAATTATTTTACTGAAATGGTGATTGTACCAAGGTGGGTGGAGAGACCTTGGTGTAGAGTCCAGTTACAGAGACGGGAAACAAAGCAGTCAGGAATGCTGATGGTGACCTCCCTGTTTGTCAGTGATCTTTTCTCTGGGATTGTAGGAAGCATCATTTTTGATGTGTAGACCAGACAATGAAAGTGATGTATAGTTATGTTGAGTATATTATATTAGCATTCTTTTTGGTGTATGGAAATAGAACTAGACTATGATTCCGTTTCCAAGCAGATGCTTCTCACCCCCTGTAATACTGTGGAGAGGAAGCTCATGGAGGCTCGAGGTTCCCCATGTGCTGAGTGCCTCAGGACAGGAATCAGGTGGAAAACCAGGCCAAACAGGCGGGACTGTCACAGTGGATTTTTTTGTTTGTTTGTTTTGTTTTGTTTTGTTTTTTTGAGACAGAGTTTTTCTGTGTAACAGTCCTGGCTGTCCTAGAACTCACTTTGTAGATCAGATCAGCCTGGAACTCACTGAGATCCGCTTGCCTCTGTCTCCCAAGTGCTGGGATTAAAGGCGTGTGCCACTGCCACGCGGTGACTGTCACAGTTTTGAGGTCAATTTTGGTAGTGTTTTCCCTTTTTAGGCTGTTTATAATGAATGGTCGACTCAGTTCAGGACTCTTTGAGTAATGTGTTCAGTACTTTTCATATTCAAAAATATCTGACATTAGAATGGACTTGACTGTTCTAGCAGGACTCCAAATGTGTCTCATGGCATGTGGAGTCTAGGGGCTGTCAGGGCAATGGTGACTGGTGAATACATTGTAGCAGTTAAACAGGTACCTTTCCTGAACTCTCCAGGCCTTTCTGTGTCCACAGGGATCTTAAAGCTCAAATTGGAGAGTAGCATTTAAGCATTTATTTGGTTGTGAATCATGCTTTCTTGTCAGTAAGCTTGTGAATCCTGCAGTTCTTGGAAGAAAGCACTGAATATTCTTGATTATTCTGTGGAGCACAGCAGAGCTCTTGGGGACAGAGTGATATGTAGTCTAATTCTTACCCAACACTCCAGATCCTCACTGGTTGAGTTGTGTATGATTGTAAGATACAATTTGTAAAGCCATTGAAGCAGTCTCTAGTAAACACGTTGCTTTTCAGTTGACCTTGGTGGGGATGAGCTAGGAGGCGGGTTGCTGTCTGTAATACTATCTGTGAACATACTGCCGCTCTCTGTTAGCCCTGAATGTGAACTTTGGAGACCTGTTCCTGCTTCTGTGTTTCCAGGCGGCTGCTAACCCTCAGTGAAGAGGATGAAGGTGTGAACTGTAAGGCTGGTCCTAAGCCTGTCAGATTTTTGGGCCCTTCCACAAGCACCCAAATTAAAGTCAAGAACTCAGCTGCTGTGAGGGTGTCACCTGTCAGTGCTGCCCAGATCACCTCTCAGGCTACAGCAAACCGTTCTCAAAGAGGCAGTTATGGAAAGGCAGCTCAGTGCCCTGTGGCCACAGGGGCTTCTGGGCATGCTCCTGCTTCCCCTCAAGCCCAGAGTGCTGAAAACCAAGCTACACAGCCACCACCAGCCAAGGTGCTCCTGTCTGACAAGAAGTCTCCATCCAACCGAGTGATCAAGCTGAGGAGGACTCCACTGTGTGTGGGGACTTCTCTGCCCACCCCCTCAGCAGGGAGCCAGGCTGGCTCCCCCCAGCAGCCTTCTCCAGAGGCTTCCATCACTTCAGGTGTGCGGACTGAGACCAGGGAAGACCAGCCTGATGGATAAAGTGGACTGGAAACTGCCTGTCTGTCCTGCAGCTTCCAGTTCATTGATTCTGACAAGTGAGTCTGTTCTTGCCAGCAGAAGGGAACATCCATGTGGAGGTTTAGGATTGTTATAGGAAAAGTGAATTCTGTGGTGTGGGAGTAGACGAGGAGCTTGGTGGTGTGGTTATTTACTTTGTGTTTTCCTAAGGTTGTCTGTGTGCAGTTTGGTTTCTAGTTTTTCATTTTAGGCTTTATTTAAATGGTTAATTGATATCAAGGTGACCAAGCAGTAATCACTACAGACATCTCCCCTTTTCTTTTGCAGTAATACTAGAGTCACCTGGCCCTTTTGTAATGTAACTCTTGTAGTCCAGGGGTAGGAATGAGGCCTGGCATAGATACCTGTCAGGTGGAGAGGGGGGACCAGTCCTGGCCACATAGTTGCTTCTTCTCCAAAGACACCATGAAAAGGGACAGTGGGAAGGGCAAGAATGTAAGTGAAGACCAGACGTGGACTCTAACTTGACTGGGACATTTTCTTTCCTAGGTCGGCTCCGCTCCTCACTTAGATCCATTAGCTGGTGTGTCTCCGCACACCACAGAGGGTTGGGGGTGCATGTGATAAGAGCTGTGGAATGCATTTTGGAATGGTTCAAATTGGTGTTCTAATTTGAGTAGTGAAGTTTTGAAGTGCTTTCAAAGAGAAAAGTTAAATAAGTTTAACTTTTTAACTCAAGTTAATGTGTTCTTAGAAGTGACCATTGAAGAGTCCTTCTGATTGTACGCTAGGTTTTATGCATACAATTTCCACATAACTTGAATTTCATATTTTTAAACAAAATATTTTGATTAATCCTCTATTTTTTCATGACCATTGAATTGTACGTGCTTACTCTTACATATTATGTTTGATAATTGGATTGTCCATTTCTAGTCTTCATGAGCACTGTGCTTCAGGGTTTTAAAGATGGTTCATCTAGCAGTGTGCTCCTTACTCGGATTCTGGGCATGCACTTGCATTGCTTTGAAAGAGTGAGGCAGGTATATTTGTGGTGTTTCTTTTCAAATAAATAAAACGTTTCCACGAAAATGACATTTTCTGTGACTACTTATTTAAACTTGGCACCCTGCAATGGTTTGAGAGCTTACTAATTTATGTAGGGTTCCCATTCCTGTTTCCAAACTTACTTTCTTATTTTGCTGCTGGTATCTTTTTAAGAAGGTGGTTTAGCTGAGTAGAAAGGCTTTTAATTGAAGATCCATAATGACATCCTGGAGTATATAAACTATTTAGTTACCTTTAAAACCGGTGCTATCTTAGAGAACTCAACTTGAAAATTAAAGATGAGTGAATTCTTGGGACTCTCAATTTGGACATTACACTTTTTACTTGATCTAGGATATTCTGCAGTCCTAATGCATATGTAAGAAAAATTTACTGATGCACATAAAATGTGTTTTGTACATGATGACCCGGAAAGGGAACGTTTGAAGATGCATCATGGATAATTCAGTCGACAGCCTCCTTTTCTGACTTCAAACAATTTAGAGGAAATCACTGCATGTGACACATTTAGTCTTTGTAAGAAGACATTTGGGTCATGCGCTGAGCAACACATTAGATGGACAGGAGAGATGGCACAGCAGGTCAAGGTTCTTGCCACCACCAAGCCTGGTAACCTCCCCTCAACCCACGTGGTAGAAGGAGAGAACCAACTTCCACAAGTTGTTCTTTGACCTCCACACAGGCCATGGTGTGGGTGTCATCCCTCCTCCCACTATTTGAAAAGTAAATAAATGTAATGTAAGAATGCATTTGGAGCCGGTCCTGGGTGGCAAGAGTGGGGTGGGGGTAGATACTTATGAATTCATGAGTCTGAAGTTAAAGGCCAAGTTCAGAATGCTCAACTATCAGAGTATTACTTGAGTGCAGTTCCTTGGATGTTGCCTTTGTTTTTTGTTGCGGGGAGGGGGGATTAAAAACATTTTATTTACTTCTTTGTTCTTCAGACATTCTTTATTTGAGACTCCAACAAGACTGGGTAACACGCCAGAAGTTAGTGTATTTCTGGATAGAAAGAAGAAAAAAATTGAAAAGGAAAAAAAAAACGTATAAATAGTTTGAAAAATAGTTTCCTGTGTCTAGGTCAGGAGACTATGATTTATAGTGACTAGCTATGTGGGCATTATTCATCTGAAGAAAAATGTGCACATCTTGTAATCTTTGTTGAAAACTGGTTTTTCCTGGTCAAATCTGGTTAGTTGTGAAATGGAGAGCTGAAGGCTGACCTACTAATGGGTTTATTTTGATTGTGTTGCTATATAGCCTAGATAACAAAGTATTTCCATGTGTTTTATTTACTGCTTTTTAGTTCCAGAACAGCATCATAATGAAGTCCTTTCTAGTTCTTAAAGATAAAGAAAATGAGGTTGAAAAAAGTTAATACTGTACCATAATGATCACATTCAGTCATCCCAGCCCTGTAGTCTGACTGACACGTGATGACCAGCTAGAGGGAAGAAATATGTGTAAAGCGTAGGAATTTGCTTAACACTGGGGAAGCTTTTAGTAGGACTATACTGAAGCATTGGATTGTGCATTTGTCTCTTGTGAGACCTACATGGTCTCTTCTGTAGTTGTAGGTGTCAGGTGCACAGGAGGGATACAGTTACCTCCTGCCCTAGGCCCACTGAAGCATAGTCAGTATTTGAGTTTATGGGGAAGTCCTTACCAAAGAAAACCAATACTTGTAGTGGAAACTGACTTGTAAATCCTTGGTCCCATGTTCATGAAACTTGAGTAGGTAACAATTAAGCACATACATGTCACCCCCCCCCCCAATTCACTGGAAAAATAAACCAACAAAAAATTCCAGCAGTGGAGGCTGTAGAAGTCCTTATCCCTAGAGCCTGCCTGCACCCCCTCCATATCCTAGCCAGTTCCTAACCCTGGTCCTCTGCTGCAGTGACTGGAACCCCTGGCATGCTGCCAGGCTAGGCCATGAGGCAACCGATGTGCGTGACTAGAGGCAGCCATGAAACTTTCTGCTCCTCTTCTGCCATTTACAAACCATGGGGCAAGTCAACACTTCTGAGCCTCCATTTCGTCATCTGTGAAAGGAGATGGGGGAGTAATTTTTGGTGTGTGCACACCTCTCCTGGGGACACTGGGAACATGAAATCAGATTGGATCCGGGGAAGCACTTTAGGTCCCAACCTGATGAGAAGCAGCCGCCATTCCTCTCTGAGGGTGTTTGTGGTTACATGTGGTGATATAGACATGGCGGACCAGCAGGTTCCAGTTTGTCTCTGAGCTTCTCCACGACACCTCCAGTTTCTCCTTCTGGTTACTGAAAGCACAGCCCATAGCAGTCCCAAGCCCACCTTTAGATTCTGCGTGGCATTTGCCTGTAGTCAGAACTTGTATAGGTCACAGCCCCTCCAAGGTGTTCTCATGACTTCTCACGTCAAGCTAACCCACAATATAACAGTGGAATGTTTAGAGAAATGCTTGTTGAATGAATAGGTGTGGAAACAGCTCTCTTCCTCTCCTGGAGGTGAAAAGAGACTGAAGTCAGCAAGGGGGCATTGAAGGGGCTTCAAAGACCAGAGAGTGAGTCTAGGGTTCTGCCAGCATGCAGTTATGGGCACACTGTAATTGTTGCTTGTATGTTGGTCAGTCTTTTGTATACTTTAAACAACTCATGAAAGTAAATATTAATGAAAGGCTGAAGTGTAGCTTAGTGGTTCAGTGCACATGTACTATTCTCAAGGACCCAGGTTCAAATCCCAGCACCTCTCCGATAAAGAAAGAAAAAAAGAGGCTTATCACAGGAAGACAGGTGTGACTTCTGAGCTGTAGCTGCTCTAGCACCAAGCCTGCTCTAAGTGGTCTCACTTGGTCCACGAAGTCTTCTGATGGCACCACACATTTCTGGGGTTGGAGGCAGCCATGGAATATAGGGAAATCAGAAATCAAGGCTTGGTAGTATGTCCTTTGAAAAGAGAGAAGGCATGTGCTTAGTCTGTCAGTTATGTGGGTCACTCATGCACCTGGTCCCCTGAAACTCTGGGAAACCATCATGTCCTTGCCTGTGCAGAACAGGGGGCTGGAGAGGTGACTTCATGGTTAAGAGCACTGGCTGCTCTTACAGAGGACTGGGTTTGGTTCCCAGGACCCACTTGTCAGCTCATAACAATCTGTAACTCCAGTTTCAGGGAACCCCATGCTCCCTTCTGATGTCTATGAGAACTGCACACATGTGGTATAATACATATAACCACATGTAGTATAATAAATACAACCACAAATGGTATCATACATCCAACCACACATGGCATAACACATACAGCAAGGTATACACTAATGCATATAAACCAAATAAATCAATATGAAGAAAAGCTTAAAAGAACACAGCAACAAAAGTCAATTATAAGGTGGTGCTGTGACCATGGTGGCTGCTGGGCTAGTCGGCTCCCCACACAGCTTCCCATTTGACAGTCTTTCCCTTGAGGGTGCCATTGTTGATCTAGGCAAACCAGTTTGTGATGAGGGTTAATGTATATAAGATAGGATTAAATCATTAGTAAGAAAAACGTCTCTTTAATTGAAAAAATTTTCATCTAACATATTCTGATCACAGTCCCCTCCAGCTCCTCCCAGATCCTTCCCACCTCACCACCAGTTCCACACCCTTTCTCTTCATTTAAGTTGTATTTTTCTTTGGTGTAACTATGATAACTTTTAACTCAACTGGAGCCTCAGTTCTCAGCAATTTATATAAAGCCACCAGTATCTTCAGGTCAGGGACTCTACTGAGGAGTGTGACAATGTTGAATGACCATGTACCCCCGGCATCACTTCTAACTGATGTGTGTGTGTGTGTGTGTGTGTGTGTGTGTGTGTGTGTGTGTGTATGTCTACATATATGTATGTGTGTTTGTATTTAGGTATTAATACCCAGGTGGGTTGGTACATGCCTGTTGCCCCATCCCTACAGTTGGGAAGCAGAAGCAGAGGACCAGAAGTTCAAGGCCACCCTAAATTACATAGCAAGTTTGATCACAGCCTGGACTACATGAGTCCCTGGCTAAGAAAAGGTAGAGCAAACCTTGCTTCCCCCATTGTACAGGGTTAACTTAAATATATAAGATTTTTATATATGTGGTTTTGAGTACATAAACCAATGAAGTCTTCTCTAAGTCATAGGGGGAAAAGGGCCAAGCAAGCAACAGCAACAAAATCGTACTGTTACAGAGTGGGGATGGGGGCACAACCTGTGGTCCCAGCACTTGGAAGGGTGAAGTAGGAAGACTGGGATTTTGAGGTCAACTTGAGCTATATAACAAACAAGACCATGTATAATCAAATAATAACCAATTTACAACAGCTCATCTCTCCTTAGTGTGTGCCAGGAACTGAGCAGGAAAGCCAACCCCTGTTGCAGCTGGGATTATAAGTATACCATCACTTCTATCCGGGCCACTAGAACTGTATTTGTATCAACTTAATAATAATATGGAGTGTCTATTTAGTAAAAAAAAAGAAAAAAAAAACCAACAGCCACAGTAAGATGGGGGAGGGGCGGGAGGAAGAATAAGAACAAAGTGAAGTGGTACGTGTATGACGCCACCATGAAAGCCACTAGTTTGTATGCAGACCTAAAAAGAACAACTGATTAACGCAACAGCACTGATTTTAGTCCCCCTTGGCACCTTTGCTCAGAAGTTATCAATTCTCATCACAGAGGAACTGGATGGGTTCTCCGTCTAAAGGGCCTGGATTGGAAGCTGGTCCTAATTTTATTGGCATTTGAGTTAATCATGTAAGCTCCCTGAGCCCGAATTTCCTAATTAATAAACTAGGAAAAAACACACACACATACACTCACATGCACAACACTCTCACACACATTCTTGCACACTCACACACGTTCTTGCACACTCACTCACATTCAGATGTATATTCACTCTTATACATACACTCTCACACTCACACACTAAACACACACATGTATACACTTACACACATGTGTACACACACTTATATACACTCACCGTCTCACTCACATGTGCACACACTCTTACACACAC